TGAGAGCAAAATAAAGCATCCACAGTGAGACCATTTACTACCTACCTCCAGATCTTCACTAAAAGGTGTTCTGAAGGACACATTTCAACAATAAATAAAATGATCCCAGAATGAATATCTGAGACATAGGAAAAAATGGTAAGCAAAAAGAACACTCAAATGTGAGTAAATCTCAACATTGAGTTACAAAACATCAATAATATCTAATTTATGGGTTTAAAAACAAAAGATAGAGCTGAAATACTGGACAACAAAGCACAGAAATCAGAAAGGGATGATCCATAGTAAACATCCTAAGGTCCTTGAATTGTTTGGGAAAAGGTTAAGATGTTGAATAACTATAGATTTTATTAAGTAAAACATTTACTTAAAAATTGTAGGGTAATTACTAAAGTTTGGAAATATAACATGTATTTTTCAAACTAATATAAAGAGAAAAATAAATGAGAAAGAATTTTTAGCCTATACGTAATCCAAAAGAAAGCAACAGAGGAGAAAAAAAGAATAGCAAAAGAAGAAACATTAAAAATAGGATGAGTGGAAAGTCTAAAATAAGATGGAAGAAATGAAATCAAATTATATCAGTAATCACAAAGCCTGTAAGTGAACTAGAAACTCCATTTAGGAGCCAGATTGTAAAGGTGGATTTCCTAAAAAATCCATCTGTGTTCTTTTTACAGGAAATACCTCAAACCTATGGACACAGAAATGCTGAAAAGAAATTAATTTTTTAAAAAGTATAAGGTAAATAGGAAGCTGGCAGTGGCTGTATTTATGTTAGATAAAAGTCCCTTTTTTCCTGCAGAAAGCATTATTAGTACAGAAATCAGTAAAACAGAAGACGAAGATGCTTAGAAAAGAACAACAAAAAACATACATGGCAGGGAGTGGCATACTGTACGTGCTTGATAAATATCTGTTCCATGAATAAAAAACAAACAGAAAACCACAAATGTGTGTGTGTAGAAAGATATGAAAGGGAATTCATCGAATAGGGATTAAATCTGAGTTGGGCAGTTTTAGGTTATCCTGCTTTTAATCTTTGTTCTTTTCTATATTTTCTGAACTTTGTATTATGTATTGCTCTTACAGTTTTGTGAAATGTATTTTTAAAAAAAAATATTTTTGAAGAGGTGATCTAGAGAGGCTAAAGTCGGGGGGCTATCTTTGATACCAGCTCTGGTCAGCGGGGGAAGAAGGGGTAATGTAAGAGTGGGTTTTGGAAGTGCTTTGCCCCTCGCCGCAAGGATGACTTCAAGCATAATGCCTTTGAATCTGTTCTCTAAAGTGACAATAATAAAGCCTTTTCAGAGAATTACTCAGGTAGGTAATCCCGTGCAAAAGCCTTAGTATAGGGCCTGCTGCTGCAGATGCTCAATGGCTATTTTCTCTCCTCCACTTGAGGGGGCAGGAGGACGGAAATGCCCTGCTCCATTGCTAAGGAAAGTGCCCAGAGTGGGAGGCGAGTCTGCTCAGTCTGGAGTATGAAACTGGGTGAAAGCTTGGTCTGTCCAATTATATTTGTGTCCTCCTGGAGAACCAAGAAAATTAAGCAATGAACCAAGAAACTCATCTTATTTATTAGATGTAAGAATGAAGATATGAAGATCCTTATGACAGTCATATCTAGTAGTTCTGAAACCAATTCACTGTATTTATGTCAGACTTATTTTATGAGACACTTAACCATTGCTAAATTAAATTTCTTAAGAGAGTGTGCCTATATAATTCCTCTGGAGTTACAGAGATAGAAATCTGACCCATCATTGCTATTTTCACAGAAAACCATTTAGCAGAACTTTTTTCCAGTAGAAGTGTTTATTGAGTTGTGAGCCTAACACAGTTCATTGGCTGCATGTGTTTGCACACTGACATTTTTCTCCATGCAAATTTGCATCAGTTCATTAGTACTGACAGCAGATGGTAGCACTTTCACACAAATTTACCTTCTGAATTGATCTAAGAAATGTCACTAAAAAGATCCTGACAGTTTTGATGTTCTTCCATTTCTGAAAATGGTATGTTAAACAAATAAGGTGTAGGATTTTAGATTTTTTTGAACTCCAGCACATAATTTCTAAACCAACTAAAGATGGCTTTCATCTTTGATTCTGCCTGTCTGAAGGAAAAAGCAGAAAATACAGATATCTTTCCTGATTACAGAAGCCTTAAAAAATCTGTATTGCAGAAAAATGGCTTTTGGAGAATATTATCCAAATTGATTGTCTACACTGATCAAATGCCTCAAATCATTTGTAAATTCTCTACTTCACTCTGAATACAAACTGTTTATCTTGCAGGATCAGCTGACTGAATGTAACTGAAAAAGTAGGACTGGCTCAGGTCACAAGGCTAACTTTGAATTCTGTCATTTCTGCCAAATTAAGATATCCATAAGATAAACCACAGTTTAAATTTACAGATTCTTTACCTTTAGTACAGATCAAATCATTATAGAATTATCAGACAGGAAGGCTTAATATTTGGTAAGTGAATGAATGAGGGAATATATGAATTCTAATGACATCAGGGAAATTGTATTTTTCTATATTAAATAACCATTATTCTTAATAACACAAGACTTCTATTCAGTAGCCTTATATATGTAGAGAAAAGGATTTATTTTGAGTATTTTAAAAATTAATTTCGACTTGCATTTGAAAACCAAGTAATGACTTGGCTAATTTGCCACAACTAAGAGAAGTTGATAGATTTGAGAAAGCATTGGGTATAGACCATATAGAGTTTAACCATCTAATTAATTATGGTTGCTCTTGAAACATTGCTAGAAGAATGGTCTAATTAATAACATACTTAAGGGATTTTTTTTAACCACAAAAAAGAGCTTTTGGGTTCCAAATGCCCTCAAAAACAAGGGACCCTGTGTTATTTCATTCATAGCACTTATTATTATATGGGTTATCTTATTTGTTCTAGGTGTTTATTGGCTGTCTACTCCCCTGGAATGTAAGTTTCATGGGATCAGGGACTTTGCTTATCTCTGAGACTTAGTTATGTCTCTAATTATAGCCAGAACTGTTACTGGCAGACATCTAGAGGATGATTAATAGATATTGTTGAATTGATAAGTGTTAGTTTAAGGCGAATAAGGGAAGCCAGAATCAATTTGGGCAGGAGGACCATATCTGGGCTGTGACCCCATGGCCTAGTTAGGGATGGGACTGAGGGACAAGGAGAATGTTGGAGAGAGACTGCTCAATTTCTGCTGTAAGAATCAAGCCACCAGGCAGAGACTTCTGGAGATGGCACTCTGGGAGACATAAACCAATCATACCCAGCAGATAACTGAGCCTCACCACTCATGTAACACCCGCGAATCTCCACACCAAATGTGTCCAGCATGTGAAATTTTCCTACCATTCTGCGAGTGGGTGTGTGCCCATGCACACAGACATCAATGTTTTGAGGCTGGAGGGACAGCTACTTGTAATTCTTTCCAAGGACTGGCTGAGAAGAGAAGGCAGGCAGCACATAGTTCAAATATAGCCCATACGCTTGTTTTTTTTGGCCCACTCTGTGTTTAAAAAAAAAAAAAAAGCATGCCAACGTTTAAGTTAAGGAAGTTTTACATAAAAATCTGGATATCTGGGTTATTTTGACAAATGGGAAGTCCTGGCACACTGAACCTGCAGTCCCACATGGCATGGCTAGAGCAGGGCAGCAAGTTCAGCTTTGGCTAGGTACACTCTGTTGTCCCCACAGTCCCCACCACATGCCAGCGTATTTACCTGGCCTTGCTCCTCCAGGTCACCTGCCTGGTCTTCGTAGGTATTTGTCTTATTCTGTTTGGGCTGATATAATGCAATACCACAAATTAGGTAGTTTATGAACACAGAAATGTTTATCTCATAGATCTAGAGTCTGGAAGTATGAGATCAGTATGCCTGCCTGTACTCATGAGGGCCCTCTTGGTCTCTGGAGCCTGTTTTATAAAGACCTTAACTTTATTCCCAAAGGCTCCCCACCTCATGACCTAATCACCTCCCAAAGGCCCCACCTCCTAATACCATCATCCTGGGTTTTAGGATTTCAGCGTATGAATTGTGGGGAACACACACTTTAAGACCATAGCAGTATTTCAGTTTGTAGTCTCTGGAATAATGCTTAATCTGCAGTGTAAACAATTGGCAAGTTTATCATCAATCAGTATTTTTGCATTGGTAGAATTTGTGCATAGATCCTCACTACATAGAAACCTCCTAGGGCTCCTGATTGCTTGCTAAATGATGTCCACATCCCTAATCTGGCAGCATTCTGACCTTATCTTATATCCATTCTCTTATAAAGGCAGCGGAGTTCCATCGTATTAGCTTTTAACTTATAGAAGCAGCCTATGTGCTTTGGGAAGACAGAAGGAGAGAAACATAAAGTGAGAAACTAAGACAGACAGAAGTAGAACAATTTAAATAATGCAGGCCATTCTCCACCACTGGCCCCCACCCTCCTCTCTCCCCATACCCCCCAACCACTCTACCTACTGAACCTGTGCCCATTAGCACTGATTGCTGTTAGGCCTGAAAAATTAACATGTTGACAAAATTTATTAAAAAAATAACATGTGAATGATTTGGGTCCCACTAACAAAGAGGTGAGTGAAGTACATTGTTCAGATGGTCAGGCTACTAGGCTTCATAGACATCCTTAAGGAAACACTGAAGAATAATTATAAACCCAAACAGAAACCCTAGTTGACAAAGAGTTAGAGGGAACTGATAAAAGGTGTGTATAGTTTGCATGTGTAACAAACAACCATGTGCCCTCCTGTACTGGACTATTTAGCTTTTTCAGTGCATAACTCCTTCTCACCAACTCCTTCTCATGTTTAGATTATGAATTCTATTTCAAAACTGAAATCTATCTGTATCTTAATAATTGAATTTAAAGCTAACCTTTATTTTAAAGGAGTGAACCAGATTATGTGTTTTAACCTTTCCAAAGTAATTCACATGGCAATCCTGGGCCAACCCTGATTCTTACAGGAGCATCCAGTACTTGGGCAACCCTTTTTTGTACTTCATCCCTGCAAGACAGATGAATTCATGACTCCTATGTTAAAGAATTCTCAAAAAATCAATAGGTAAGAAACACCGTCAAGATACATTGGCTTCGACTCTTATTTTAAAAGCATAAATCTTTTTATGTGACTCTAAAAGCTAATCTAAAAAAGAAATATTCTTTGTAATAATAATAATAGCTAACATTTATTGATTCTGACTGTGTGCTAGGCACTGTTCTAAGTAATTTAGATATATTAATGCATTGGACTTTTATAGTGCCCCTATTAGCTAAGTTCCATTATTTTACCAAGTTTACAGAGGAGGAAGCTAAGGCACAGAAGGGTTAAACGAGTCAGCCAAGGTTCCACAGCTAGTTAGTGGGGTGGAACTGAGATTTGAACCCAGGCATTTTTGCCTTAGAGCTATGCTCTTAACCACTATGACCTTAGCAAATGCTGTAAATTTTCAGCATAGAATTAGAATCATCAGGGGGAGCTGGGAGCCCCAGTGCCTTGACTTCCCCTTTGATCACCTTAGCAAGGGGTCCTCAGTCTCTTTGAATCTTGAGTCTTTGTTGAACAATGTAGTCGGCATTTGGAAATGCTGGAACTCTAAATGGTGGGCACACACCTTTTAAAAAAGCCTTGTCTCTTGTTGGTAACTGATTTTTTACTATTCCTTTAGCTACAATGGAAACATTAGAATTGTCTGTATTTTTACTTGTTCCCCAGGAGGTTCAACTACATCACATCATGGCTAAGCATTGTAGGACCAGTTGTTGGACTTAATCTACCTCTGAGTTATGCCAAAGCAGCCTCTCAGGATGAAAGAAGTGTCTATCGATAAGGTAAAAAGGAAAACCTGCACTGAGTATTTTGCTATTAAAAAGATCTGAGTGTCTCTGTAGCACTTAGATACATCATCCCTGCTGGCCCCACAATATATTAAGTCTGCTTTCATCTTTAATAGGCTGGACACTGAGTTGTTTGTTTAGATTTCCAACCAGCGAGTGCCTGGTCATTTAGGAAGCATTTGACTTTGCTATAATAACACTCACCCAACTACAGGACTGGATGGTTTTATTTTGGAATTGATATTCTTGAAATAAGTCTCTACTACTCAGTTAACTTTTATTCCCTGGGTTTTTGTTTTGTTCTTGTTCATCAGATTCATACTGGCCTACAATGCTTAGAAACTGTGGCATGAGCACAAGAGTTTATCTGGCCAGCCCTGGTTTTAATAGCACCAATACCATGCAGTATTTCAACTCACCACGACTTGGACATGGATTTTTTTTTTCCCTTGGAAGCAAATGTCTGCAGCAACTGATAATACTCTATGTCTAGGGAAAACACCTCAAAGACACAAATCACTATAAACAGCAAAGAAGGAATCTAACTCAGTAATAGAAATACTCAGATCATCGGGGCACTTCCAGATTATTCTTTTCTGAGACAAGCACTTTGCCGATATGGAGATTAATGGAGAAATGGATTTGTGTGTTCATTTTAATGTAGGATATATGAAAATTAAAATATAAGATTTACATTTTGTCCCTGAAAATTGGAAGTTTAAAGCTGTAGGAAATATTCAAACATTATTATTATTTTTTACCTATAATAAAACAATGGTCATTTTGTTCTACTCGGCAAACCCTCAACTGTTCTATTCTATTGTTTGAGGGATCTTGAACAAGTCTTCATGTCTTTGAGGCTTGTTTTCTTCATCTTTAATATAAGAATAACAAACAACCTCACAGTGTTGCTGTGGGAACCATGTAAGATCATTAATGCAAGAGAAATAATTGTAAAGTATTATATAAATATTCACTGAGTGCTCACCTTTCTCATATTTTACTGTTATTCTCCCATTCTGTCAATAAGTTAAATAGCCAGTAAGGCATTAAGATGGACCTAATCTGAAGGAATTTTCAGTTTTGGGTTGCTTGTTTTGTTTTTCATTTTAATATGTTAGGGAATAAAACTGAGAGAAAAGTGTAATGGGCTCTTCAGAGAATCTATATTAGCATCTATCAATGAGGGATCTACTTTACAGTCACTTCAGGAACTTTTAGAACTACAAATGAATGCTGGGGGCCACCTCCTGAGACAGCCTCTCTGGGGTGATCCTAACACACACAATCAGGAGAACCTCTGGTCTGGATGTACCTGTACTCTGGCATTTATTTGTACTGTTTTGGTCTCCTAACAGGCCTTTTCAAATTCTGTGTAGAGCTCTAACAAGCTGGACTACCTTCCTAACATTTGCCTAGGCATTGCCCTGAACTTCCCAGATAGTAAGAGGGTCTAAGAGGCATTTGTTCACCAGGCACCCCACTTGGGGGAAGGGATTAGGGTGTGGATTGTCTGCTGGTGACTTGCAGAGGACTGTGATAGCACTCTCACTCTATTCAGGGCTGAGCTCTCACACTGGGAGTGAAAGTGGAGAAAGGGTTAATTCAAACTGCTAGAAAAGCTAAAAGTAAATTTTAAAATGCTGAGCTGCACATATTCATGCTGGGATGAGAGCCTGCTTACATGCTTGCTGGGCATTTTGGTATTTACTACTTAACATCTTTTCAACTTCTGCAAGAGATTTTTTTCTTCTCCCACTCTCCCTAATGTAAACACAGATTTCTCAGCAAGTCATTTCTCAAGCCATGTCATTTCTGGAACATCAAATATATATATATAAAAACAATATAAGACAATTTGTATATGTATGTATATAAACAATCATAATAATGTATCATCTGAAAGATGTACTAATCTGGAAATATTAGTTATCCTTTGCTAACTAACAGATTCTTAGGGGATAGTAGTCTTATCAGTTTGGAGTCACTGTGTATTTTATGTTAATTTTTTTCTTTGATTGATGAAGACCCGAAAATTCATAAGTGGCAGAAAAAAGTTCTGAATAGCTCCTGTTGGACTATTTTGAGACTTCCCTCTCAAGAGGGCTTCCTCTCCTCAGGGAGCTCTATTTCTTTTCAGAGTTTTTCACTTAAAAAATCTTCATTTTTTGTTGATAAAAATGTTTTAAGAATACAGTAATATAAAAAGCTATCATGCCAACAGTTATAAGATGAGAAAATACTTTGTTTTATTAAAGTAACTTTCTCTGCAATGGGGATTTCTCCTCTGAGTTTCCTCTCCAGTTAATGTAATGCAAAGTCCCTTCAGTCAGAAATCAGGTTGGCTAAAGCTGCTATGAGCCAGTCTCCTAAACTCTGCCTTTGTGTGACCTTGGGAGGGTCACTTCAGCTCTTTGGTTCTCAGTTTCCTAACTTGGCAAATGAGGATTTGGGAGGCCCACCCACTACAGTTCTTGGGTCTGTGAAATAGGGAGAAGTCTAGAGTCCAGACTGTGTGTTCAGCTGGCTGCTGGCTATGTGAAGTGGGCTTATTTTCTTCATCTCCTATGGTCCTTTACTATGTCTATTTTTAAAGTCTGTAATATCTGGCCCACTCACCTGACAAGGACATGGTAACTGACATGCTTCAAAACCAACACAATGCCCATGGAGGAAGGGGCACAGAGGATGACTAGCCCTGTTCCTGTGGGGACACCAGCACACCTGCTGTCCCCGTTTCATGCTTGGCTCCTCCCCTGATGGGCGCCCGGTCCAACAAGTCTTCTCTGCCCCCATCCTTATCTGACCATTGCTCATGCAGGTTCCCACCTGGAAATGCTTCCTTCCCCACCTTCCTACCCAATTCTCAACTGAGTCTGCTTGGTTCTCTGACCACTGCAGCCTCTACTGTCAGCTGCCCCCTTCATGACTCACTCTACTTAGTCAGATTACCATTTAATTGTCTCCATTTCACTCCAATTTCTTCCCCTCCTTAATGATGTGACTTAGCCCCTTCTTTTGTGTAAGGTATGTGTAAGATGACATGCACAGAAAAGAGCTATCTACTCCTTGTAAGTGATCCAGGGAAAGATCTCAGTCTGGGGATTTGAGTGGGTGGGCCAGTTCTTTGAGCAGCTGGTGGTCAGATGCTGTTGACCACCAAGTACTAAGGTTATAACAACAAAACTGGGAGAGGAGCAAGGATGGCAGCATGAGTAGGGCAGTAGAAATCTCCTCCCAAAACCATATATATTTTTGACAATACAATAAATACAACTATTCCTAAAAGAGATACCAGTGGATACAGTACAATAGCCAGGCTACATCTACATCTGTGAGAACCTAGTGCCTCATGAAGGGGGTATGATACAACCCGCAGCCCAAGGGGACCCTAGTGCGCCCCCCACCCCAGCTTCCCAGTGGGAGGAAAGGAGTCACAGCGGGGAGGGAGTGGGAGCCCAGGACTGCTAAATACCCAGCCCTAGTCATCTGCACCGGGAGCGCAAACACACACCGTGTGGTGTGCTGAATATTAGGGAAACGGAAGAATAAAACCTGCAAGCAGGTCCCCACAGCCGGCTCCCCTGGGACAAAAGAAAAGTGAGTGCTTTTTGAAAGTCTTAAAGGGACAAGGGCCTCAGAGCCGGATGGAAGCATCCCAGCACACTCAACCCAGCAGGCTGGGAATTCTGAGGAACTTCGGGCACCCCAGCCTCCTGGGTGGCAACGCACTCCTGAAGACCCTCACAGTGATAGGCATTCTGCCAGTTGTTCCCCTAGCCGGGGAGGGCCCAACACAGTGGCTGAGCAGCCAGCGAGCAACCTCACGCGCCTGCAGCGGCCAAGCAGCCAGAGAGCAACTGCACATGCCTGCGTAGGTGGAGCAGCCAGAGAGTGGCCGCACCTACAGCAACCACCCAGAATGTCCTCCCAGTGCGCAGCCACCTGGGCCAGACCCACAGGCCGCCGCTGGTGCACAGCTGCCCGGTGCAGGCAGATGAAACCGGGGCAAGGCCCAAAGGGGCACCATTCTTGCAGGAGGGCACACCCAGCTCCCCACAGGGCTCTGGGCTACCCTGATGGCAACCCCACCCACAGCAGCTTAGAGCATTAATCGGAGGCTGCTCTAGCTGTGCGGCTAACTGACACAGGCAGCGGGGAAGTGCAAAGCAGCCAACAAGCAGGAAAGGACTTTGTTCTCCCAGCTGACACATGCGCTACCTGCCTGCAGCTACCTCTATTGCCATGACAAGGCAGAAGAATTTGGTCCAGTCCAGAATTACCTAGACAACCCATGAGAGAGGGCCTAGGGAGATAGATTTAACCAATCTCCCTGAAAAAGAATTCAAAATAAAGGTCATTACCATACTGATGGACCTGCAGAGAAATATGCAAGAGTTAAAGTATCAAGTTGGGAGGGAGAATACAGAAATAAAACAATCTCTGGAAGGACTTAAGAGCAGGTTGGATGAGGTGCAAGAGGCCATTAATGGAATAGAAATCAGAGAACAGGAACACAGAGAAGCTGAGGCAGAGAGAGATAAAAGGATCTCCATGAATGAAAGAATATTAAGAGAACTGTGTGACCAATCCAAAGAGAACAATATTCCCATTATAGGGGTACCAGAAGAAGAAGAGAGAGAAAAAGAGATAGAAAGTGTCTTTGAAGAAATAATTGCTGAAAACTTCCCCAAACTGGGAGAGGAAATAGTCTTTCAGACCATGGAAGCCCACAGAACTCCCAACATAATTTTTCTTAGGAGGACAACACCAAGACATATAATAATTAAAACGGCAAAGAGAAAGACAAGGACAGAGTATTAAAGGCAGCCAGAGATAGAAAAAAGGTCTCCTACAAAGGAAAACCCATCAGGCTCTCATCAGACTTCTCAGCAGAAACCTTACAGGCCAGAAGAGAATGGCATGATATATTTAATGCAATGAAACAGAAGGGCCTTGAACCAAGGATACTGTATCCAGCACAATTACCATTC